ATTTCGGCTTTTCAATTTTTAATTTTTCGATTTTTAATGTTGAGTTTTGCAAAGAAAATTCGATTTTTCAGCTTTTACACTTTTCAATTTTTCATTCCGTTTCCTTAATTTTTCTTTTATTTGAAATGTAGCTTTCAACTTTTCGTTCTTGTGATGTTCTCGATTTTTCAATTTTTTAATTTTTCGATTTTTTAAATTTTAGATGTTTCGATTTCTCAATTTCTCGATTTTTCAGTTCTTCGATTTTCCAATTTTAGAGTTTTAGAACTGTAGATTTTTTTGGTTTTTTGTTGTTTTGATTTCTCGATCCTTCGATTTTTCGACTTTTAGGTACCTACTAGATTTTTCAGTTTTTACATTTTTCGATTTGTAAAATTTTTGTTTATCGATTTTTCAATTTTTCAGTTTTTAGATTTTTCAGTTCTTTGATTTTTTATTTTTAACTTTCCCATTTTAGGCTAATTCGATTTCTCGATTTTCCATTCCTCGATTTCTCGACTTTTTGATGATTCAATTTCTCGATGTTTCAGTTTTTGAATATTTCGATGTTTCGTTTCTCGGATTTTCGATTTTACAACTTTTTGGCATTTCAATTTCCCATTTTTTCCATATTTCAGTTTTTTCAATTTTAAGATTCCCAAATTTTTCGTCATTTCAGTTTTGAAATTTGTCAAGTGCAATCAATTTTTGCAATTTTTTAAATTTTGGATTTTCAATTTCTTGATTTGTCGGTTTTTCGGTATTTCGGCTTTTCAATTTTTAATTTTTCCATTTTTAATGTTCGAGTTTTTCAAAGACAATTCGATTTTTAGCTTTTCCATTTTTCAATTTTTCATTCCGTTTCCTTAATTTTTCTTTTATTTGAAATGTATCTTTCAACTGTTCGTTCTTGTGATGTTCTCTATTTTTCAATTTTTTAATTTTTCGATTTTTTAAATTTTAGATGTTTGGATTTCTCAATTTCTCGATTTTTCAGTTCTTCGATTTTCCAATTTTCGAGTTTTTAACTTTAGATTTTTTTGGTTTTCTGTTGTTTTGATTTCTCGATATTTAGATTTTTCGACTTGTAGGTACCTACTAGATTTTTCAGTTTTTACATTTTTCGATTTGTAAAATTTTTGTTTTTCGATTTTTCAATTTTTAGTTTTTAGATTTTTCAGTTCTTTGATTTTTTATGTTTAACTTTCCCATTTTAGGCTAATTCGATTTCTCGATTTTCGACTCCTCGATTTCTCGACCTTTTGATGTTTCAGTTTTTGAATATTTCGATGTTTCGATTTCTCGGATTTTCGATTTTATAAATTTTCGGCTTTTCAATTTCCCATTTTTTCCATATTTCAGTTTTTCAATTTTAAGATTCCCAAATTTTTCGTCATTTCAGTTTTGAAATTTTTCAAGTGCAATCAATTTTTGCAATTTTTTGAATTTTGGATTTTCGATTTCTTGATTTCTCGGTTTTTCGATGTTTCGGCTTTTCAATTTTTAATTTTTCGATTTTTAATGTCGAGTTTTGCAAAAAAAATTCGATTTTTCAGCTTTTACATTTTTCATTCCGTTTCCTTAATTTTTCTTTTATTTGAAATGTAGCTTTCAACTTTTCGTTCTTGTGATGTTCTCTATTTTTCAATTTTTTAATTTTTCGATTTTTTAAATTTTAGATGTTTGGATTTCTCAATTTCTCGATTTTTCAGTTCTTCGATTTTCCAATTTTCGAGTTTTTGAACTTTAGATTTTTTTGGTTTTCTGTTGTTTTGATTTCTCGATATTTAGATTTTTCGACTTGTAGGTACCTACTAGATTTTTCAGTTTTTACATTTTTCGATTTGTAAAATTTTTGTTTTTCGATTTTTCAATTTTTAGTTTTTAGATTTTTCAGTTCTTTGATTTTTTATGTTTAACTTTCCCATTTTAGGCTAATTCGATTTCTCGATTTTCGACTCGTCGATTTCTCGACCTTTTGATGATTCGATTTCTCGATGTTTCAGTTTTTGAATATTTCGATGTTTCGATTTCTCGAATTTTCGATTTTACAACTTTTTGACATTTCAATTTCCCATTTTTTCCATATTTCAGTTTTTTCAATTTTAACATTATCAAATTTTTCGTCATTTTAGTTTTGAAATTTTTCAAGTGCAATCAATTTTTGAAATTTTTTAAATTTTGGATTTACCATTTCTTGATTTCTCGGTTTTTCGATATTTCGGATTTTCAATTTTTAATTTTTCGATTTTTAATGTTCGAGTTTTTCAAACACAATTCGATTTTTAGCTTTTCCATTTTTAAATTTTTCATTCCGTTTCCTTAATTTTTCTTTTATTTGAAATGTAGCTTTCAACTTTTCGTTCTTGTGATGTTCTCGATTTTTCAATTTTTTAATTTTTCGATTTTTTAAGTTTTAGATGTTTCGATTTCTCAATTTCTCGATTTTTCAGTTCTTCGATTTTCCAAATTTCGAGTTTTTGAACTTTGGATTTTTTTGGTTTTTTGTTGTTTTGATTTCTCGATCTTTCGATTTTTCGACTTTTAGGTACCTACTAGATTTCTCAGTTTTTACATTTTTTGATTTGTAAAATTTTTGTTTTTCGATTTTTCAATTTTTAGTTTTTAGATTTTTCAGTTCTTTGATTCTTTATGTTTAACTTTCCCATTTTAGGCTAATTCGATTTCTCGATTTTCGACTCCTCGATTTCTCGACCTTTTGATGATTCGATTTCTCGATGTTTCAGTTTTTGAATATTTCGATGTTTCGATTTCTCGGATTTTCGATTTTACAAATTTTCGGCTTTTCAATTTCCCATTTTTTCCATATTTCAGTTTTTCAATTTTAAGATTCCCAAATTTTTCGTCATTTCAGTTTTGAAATTTGTCAAGTGCAATCAATTTTTGCAATTTTTTAAATTTTGGATTTTCAATTTCTTGATTTGTCGGTTTTTCGGTATTTCGGCTTTTCAATTTTTAATTTTTCCATTTTTAATGTTCGAGTTTTTCAAAGACAATTCGATTTTTAGCTTTTCCATTTTTCAATTTTTCATTCCGTTTCCTTAATTTTTCTTTTATTTGAAATGTATCTTTCAACTTTTCGTTCTTGTGATGTTCTCTATTTTTCAATTTTTTAATTTTTCGATGTTTTAAATTTTAGATGTTTGGATTTCTCAATTTCTCGATTTTTCAGTTCTTCGATTTTCCAATTTTCGAGTTTTTGAACTTCAGATTTTTTGGTTTGCTGTTGTTTTGATTTCTCGATATTTCGATTTTTCGACTTGTAGGTACCTACTAGATTTTTCAGTTTTTACATTTTTCGATTTGTAAAATTTTTGTTTTTCAATTTTTCAATTTTTAGTTTTTAGATTTTTCAGTTCTTTGATTTTTTATGTTTAACTTTCCCATTTTAGGCTAATTCGATTTCTCGAATTTCGACTCCTCGATTTCTCGACCTTTTGATGATTCGATTTCTCGATGTTTCAGTTTTTGAATATTTCGATGATTCGATTTCTCGGATTTTCGACTTTACAAATTTTCGGCTTTTCAATTTCCCATTTTTTCCATATTTCAGTTTTTCAATTTTAAGATTCCCAAATTTTTCGTCATTTCAGTTTTGAAATTTTTCAAGTGCAATCAATTTTTGCAATTTTTTGAATTTTGGATTTTCGATTTTTTGATTTCTCGGTTTTTCGATGTTTCGGCTTTTCAATTTTTAATTTTTCGATTTTTAATGTCGAGTTTTGCAAAAAAAATTCGATTTTTCAGCTTTTACATTTTTCAATTTTTCATTCCGTTTCCTTAATTTTTCTTTTATGAAATGTATCTTTCAACTTTTCGTTCTTGTGATGTTCTCGATTTTTCAATTTTTTATTAGATGTTTCGATTTCTCAATTTCTCGATTTTTCAGTTCTTCGATTTTCTAATTTTCGAGTTTTTGAACTTTAGATTTTTTTGGTTTTTTGTTGTTTTGATATCTCGATATTTCGATTTTTCGACTTTTAGATACCTACTAGATTTTTCAGTTTTTACATTTTTCGAATTGTAAAATTTTTGTTTTTCGATTTTTCAATTTTCCAGTTTTTAGATTTTTCAGTTCTTTGATTTTTTATTTGTAACTTTCCCATTTTAGGTTAATTCGATTTCTCGATTTTCCACTCCTCGATTTCTCGACTGTTTGATGATTCGATTTCTGGATGTTTCAGTTTTTGAATATTTCGATGTTTCGATTTCTCGTATTTTCGATTTTACAACTTTTTGGCATTTCAATTTCCCATTTTTTCCATATTTCAGTTTTTTCAATTTTAAAATTCCCAAATTTTTCGTCATTTCAGTTTTGAAATTTTTCAAGTGCAATCAATTTTTGCAATTTTTTAAATTTTGGATTTTCGATTTCTTGATTTCTCGGTTTTTCGATATTTCGGCTTTTCAATTTTTAATTTTTCGATTTTTAATGTTCGAGTTTTTCAAAGGCAATTCGATTTTTCAGCTTTTCCATTTTTCAATTTTTCATTCCGTTTCCTTAATTTTTCTTTTATTTGAAATGTATCTTTCAACTTTTCGTTCTTGTGATGTTCTCTATTTTTCAATTATTTAATTTTTCGATTTTTTAAATTTTAGATGTTTGGATTTCTCAATTTCTCGATTTTTCAGTTCTTCGATTTTCCAATTTTCGAGTTTTTGTACTTTCGCTTTTTTTGGTTTTTTGTTGTTTTGATTTCTCGATCTTTCGATTTTTCGACTTTTAGGTACCCACTAGATTTTTCAGTTTTTACATTTTTCGATTTGTAAAATTTTTGTTTTTCGATTTTTCAATTTTTCAGTTTTTAGATTTTTCAGTTCTTTGATTTTTTATTTGTAACTTTCCCATTTTAGGTTAATTCGATTTGTCGATTTTCCACTCCTCGATTTCTCGACCTTTTGATGATTCAATTTGTCGATGTTTCAGTTTTTGAATATTTCGATGTTTCGATTTGATTTCACAACTTTTTGGCTTTTCAATTTCCCATTTTTTCCATATTTCAGTTTTTTAATTTTAAGATTCCCAAATTTTTCGTCATTTCAGTTTTGAAATTTTTCAAGTGCAAATTTACAAAAGTCCCACTTTTAATTTCCTGCAAAGGGTTGATGCTCACTTCTACGTTGTCCACCTTTGGCAGATCTTTGAAGGTTCCAGGTTCAATTTCTTCTAAGCAATTTGTCATAAACTTTAATTTCAGATAATTTGGGTATACCTTCGAGGGAGTCTTCGTACAGAATGTCCACTGACCCTTTGAGTTCGATGCGCTGCTTGTGCTCGCCATCTTCAGGACAAATTTCTTTGATTTGGTGTGTTGAAGCGTTTTCGACTGGCTTGTGTTACTTCCCAAGAATTTTCACCGAAATGGTAACAAGTTATGTCTGCAGTGTCTGTAGTTATAAGCACAAAGGATAACTCAACAATTAGAAAAACAATAATGGATTTGAAGCTCTTCATGGCTGCTCTTCTTTGGATGTTTGTAACACTCTGAACTAAATTTTGGTTGTCGGGCTATATATACAGAAAAAGTGATAATCTTCTGACATATGACGGTCGGTATTTGAATTGACCTGCGATGATACCGCGTAACTAAAATAATCTTGTTAATATTTTTAAAATAGATCTGTTTTGGTTTTATGTTATTGTTTTTGTCACGCTCAATTTTCGTTTGATCTTGCGATAGAGCATCCAAAAATTATCTTCTAAGTAGATGTTTTCTAACCCCGGAGCAATAACTTCATTGTTCGTATAAGTTTCTGAATTTTTAATTTGTAAAACTAAGAGTGCTGACTAGATTTGACCCTTCTTCAAAATGTAATTTTGCTCATTACCAATGATTTGGTGTGTAGAAGCGTTTCTGATCACGTCTTTTTAAAAAGGTGGGCCCATTTTGATAAACTACAAGGTCACAGGTTATCATTACAATATCACCATTTATTACAATAACAAAAGATAATGAGGAAGCTCTTCCATATCATGCTTCCTGCAATGTTATGTAAATTTCCAACATAAATATTGTCTATAGTGCTGCACAAACAAAAAGATGAACTTATGACACGAGTTTGGGTTATCGGCAGCAATGTTTTGCGAACATCAAAACGACAATTTTTATAACACCTAGAAGAGTTGGTGAAGGTTGCCGCACGACGATTTAAAAAAGGATTCTATATTTTATTTAGAAAAAAATTTCCAACATCATGTAAATATGCAGAGTTCGTCATTTAGTCTTTTATTAAGTACAATTTGTTAAGAGTTTTTTTTTTTTATTGAGAATTTGATTTCTCGATTTGTAACTATTTCAATATTGCAATTTTTCGTTTTTAAAATTCTAGATTTTTCAATTTTCCGAATTTTTTTTTTTCGATTTTTAAAATATTAGATTTTTGGACTTCTGAGTTCTTCGACAATTCGATTTTTTAGCTTTTCCATTTTCAATTTTTCATTCCGTTTCCTTAATTTTTCTTTTATTTGAAATGCAACTTTCAACTTTTCGATCTTGTGATGTTTAACCCTTTAGCGGGGAGAACGACTATTGTCGGTCCACTCTAACTTTCTTGTGGCGGGGAAGACGGCAAAAGTCGTAAACGGCAAGATAAGACTGATATGGGCAAATGACCTACCCTCTTAGAAAAAGAAGAGTAGAGGGTGTATCATTTGCCAAAATCGGTCTTATCATGGCAAGGATTGGCCCCTCCCACCCACCCGTTATTTTCTTCTTGAGTATGCTATTTGCCAAAATCAGTCTTATTTTGGCAAGTACTAGCCCCACCCACAACCCCGTTATTTTCTTAGAGGGTATGTTGTTTGGCAATATCAGCTTTATCTTGGCAAGCACTAGCCCCGCCCATCCGCCCTTTATTTTCTTAGAGTGCTAGTACCTGTTAAGATAAGACTGGTTTTGGCAAATAACATAGACTCTAAGGAAAGAGAGGGTGGGTGGGTGGGGCTAGTGCCTGCTAAGATAAGACTGATCTTGGCAAATAACCTACCCTCTAAAAAAATGAAGAGTAGAGGCTGTATCATTTGCCAAATTCAGTCTTATCATGACAAGTATTGGCCCCGCCCACCCACCCGTTATTTTCTTCTTGAGTATGCGATTTGCCAAAATCAGTCTTATTTTGGCAAGTAATAGCCCCACCCACAAACGCGTTATTTTCTTAGAGGGTATGTTGTTTGGCAATATCAGCTTTATCTTGGCAAGCACTAGCCCCGCCCATCCGCCCTTTATTTTCTTAGAGTGCTAGTACCTGCTAAGATAAGACTGATTTTGGCAAATAACATAGACTCTAAGAAAAGAGAGAGTGGGTGGGCGGGGCTAGTGCCTGCTAAGATAAGACTGATATTGGAAAATTATCCACCCTCTAAGAAAATGAAGAGTAGAGGGTGTATCATTTGCCAAAATCAGTCTTATCATGACAAGTATTGGCCCCGCCCACCCACCCGTTATTTTCTTCTTGAGTATGCTATTTGCCAAAATCAGTCTTCTTTTGGCAAGTAATAGCCCCCCCCCCACAAACCCGTTATTTTCTTAGAGGGTATGTTGTTTGGCAATATCAGCTTTATCTTGGCAAGCACTAGCCCCGCCCATCCGCCCTTTATTTTCTTAGAATGCTAGTACCTGCTAAGTCAAGACTGATTTTGGCAAATAACATAGACTCTAAGGAAAAACAGGGTGGGTGGGTGGGACTAGTGCCTGCTAAGATAAGACTGATTTTCGAAAATGATCTACCCTCTAAGAAAATGAAGAGTAGAGGGTGTATCATTTGCCAAAATCAGTCTTATCATGACAAGTATTGGCCCCGCCCACCCACCCGTTATTCTCTTCTTGAGTATGCGATTTGCCAAAATCAGTCTTATTTTGGCAAGTAATAGCCCCACCCACAAACCCGTTATTTTCTTAGAGGGTATGTTGTTTGGCAATATCAGCTTTATCTTGGCAAGCACTAGCCCCCCATCCGCCCTTTATTTTCTTAGAGTGCTAGTACCTGCTAAGATAAGACTGATTTTGGCAAATAACATAGACTCTAAGACAAGAGAGGGTGGGTGGGCGGGGCTAGTACCTGCTAAGATAAGACTGATCTTGGCAAATGACCTACCCTCTAAGAAAATGAAGAGTAGAGGCTGTATCATTTGCCAAAATCAGTCTTATCATGACAAGTATTGGCCCCGCCCACCCACCCGTTATTTTCTTCTTGAGTATGCGATTTGCCAAAATCAGTCTTATTTTGGCAAGTACTAGCCCCACCCACAACCCCCTTATTTTCTTAGCGGGTATGTTGTTTGGCAATATCAGCTTTATCTTGGCAAGCACTAGCCCCGCCCATCCGCCCTTTATTTTCTTAGAATGCTAGTACCTGCTAAAATAAGACTAATTTTGGCAAATGACATACCTTCTAAGAAAAGAGAGGGTGGGTGGGCGGGGCTAGTGCCTGCTAAGATAAGACTGATATTGGCAAACTCTATAAGAAAATGGAGGGCGAATGGACTAAAATAAGACTGATGTTACCAAATGAAATACCTCTAAGAAAATGAAGTGTAGAGCCAAAAATCAGTCTTATCTTGGCAAATATTGACCCCGCCCACCCACTCTTCATTTTCTTCTTGGGTATGCGATTTGCCAATATCAGTTTTATCTTAACAAGTGCTAAGATATTTTGATTTTTCGATTTTTAAAATTTTAGATGTTTCGATTTCTCAATTTCTCGATTTTTCAGTTCTTCGATTTTCCAATTTTCGAGTTTTTAAACTTTGGATTTTTTAGTTTTTTAATGTTTTGATTTCTCGATCTTTGGATTTTCCGACTTTTCGGTATTAGATTTTTCGGTTTTTAAATTTTTCGAATTGTAAAATTTTTGTTTTTCGATTTTTCAATATTTCAGTTTTTGGATTTTTTAGTTCTTTGATTTTTAATTTTTAACTTTCCTATTTTAGGCTAATTGGATTTCTCAGTTTTTCGATCCTTTGATGTTTCGATTTCTCGATGTTTCAGTTTTGTATATCTCGATTTTCAATTATTCGATTTCTCGGTTTTTCGATTTCCCAGTTTTTCGTCTTTGCAGGTTTGGAATTATTCAATTTCTCGATTTTTCTAAGATTTCTAAGCTTTGATATTTTAGTTTTTTTTATGATACAGATTTCGTCGTCATAATTACAATATTTCAGTGATTTACACAGATTTTTGTAAGGCCTTTGATCAAATAGATATATTCATCTTACTTGACAAGATGAATTTACTTGGATTTAATGATCATATATTACATCTTCTATCATCTTACTTATTTGATCGGGTTCTATATGTAGAATATATGGGGCATCAGTCACATCCATTCATGGCTACATCGGGTGTCCCTCAGGGCTCAAATTTGGGACCACTATTGTTCCTTATATTTATTAACGATCTGCCGGAAATTATTAGATGTAATAAGTTGATGTTTGCCGATGATTTAAAAATTTTTAACTCTGTAGCGTCTATAAGTGATTGTCATCAATTACAACAAGATCTGGATAACCTATATCTTTGGTGTGTCAACAATAAACTGCATCTCAATGTAGCTAAATGTTATGTTATGACGTTTACAAAAAAGAAAATACATATCCTTCAATATGACTATTATATTAATAATTACACACTGAATAGACTTAAGGAATCTCGTGATCTTGGTGTAATATTTGATTGTGCATTAAATTTCACTACACATATAAATGAAATGGTTAAATCAGCCAATAAGACCTTAGGTTTCATCTATAGAAATTGTAAGGATTTCAAAAGTTTGCATGTTCTGAAGGTTTTGTACTATTCTTTAGTTAGACCTAAGCTTGAATATGGTAGTCTAGTTTGGCATCCCATATATGTAGTCCATAAACACCACATTGAGTCAATTCAAAGGAGATTTTTGAAATATCTCATGTTTAAAACTCATGGTTTCTACCCGCCTAGAGGAATCGACCATGGTGAGCTTCTGCAGATGTTTAACTGTGAATCACTCGAATTCCGTCGCATAACTGCAGCTGTTAAATTTTTGTATAACTTAGTTTGGGTTAAAATAGATTGCACTGACCTATTAGGCTCCATAAATTTTTTAGTTCCAAGAGCAGGAGTCCGTCTATACTTAAGTTTTTATAATCTTAATGCAAGAACAAATGTACTTCGCAAAAGTCCAGTCTATTTAATGCATTGTTATTTCAATATAATTTGTCGTGACTGTGATTTATTCAGCGATTCTTTGCACTTTATTGTTAAGATTTTGTCTGGAAAATTGCATCCCTATGTGTTGTAACTTAATTGTAATTGTAATTGTAATTTCCTGTTATATATGTATTTTGTATTTTTTTTTTGCCTACTTGTGGCTTATGCTGTTTGGCAAATATATACCTATTATTATTATTATTAATATATACCTATTTCAGTGGACGGAAATGTCTTTGATTACGAGTGTCTAAAATTATGTTAATAAAAAAAAAGTTCAATTCGTGTAGTACCTAAATGTGATGTAACTACTTCTTATGTCTAAACCTTCAAAAATTTTATAGGACAGTGACACTACACACTTGGTATTTTTTAAGAACTGGTCGAAGCTTTAAAAAAATTTGTTTAGTCATCCCTACCAACAATTTGATGACGTCACCTCAAATTTTGCATACTTAATCTTGTTTAAATGTTTGTTGTGGTTTATGAATTCGCCCTTACATAACACTTAACTGTAACAGCTTAAAACCACGCACTGAGGACTCCATCAAGAGCTTTTGACACAACACAAAATATTTCCGTTTCATTCACAGCCCCAGAAATACAAGTTTGCCAGTAAATAATCCGTAATGAATCAGATAACAGTAATGCATTCACTCATTACATCAGAACATGTGCATTGCTAATTTCCAAGGTTCGCATAGACCGCTGACAGAAAGTACAGAAAAATTGCATCATGGTTGCATTTCCATATAAATAGACGCTTTTCCGCCGGAGTTTTCAGTGCTTTGTAAGAAAACACAATCAACATGTTCAAATTCTTCCTTTTGGCTTTCCTGGTCGTTATGGCCATCGTCGCCGCTCACGCCGAGCCCGAGCCCAGTGGGATTATTGGTGCCCCTGGTCTCATCGCCGGAGTCCCCGGAGTCGTCGCCACCGGAGCCGGACTAGGACTGGGCTTGGGGCATGGAGGTGTCTTGGTCGGCTGAAAGGCACGACGAATAATTTTCCACACAAAAAAAATGCATCATTCATAAATTTCCTGTAGCAGTTTCCGAATAAAAATTTAGATTCAGCACGAGGTTTTGTCTTATTTCGTAGTCAACAAGTTGACAACACGCAATTGATGATTAAAGCAAAAATACAACATCACAAGGTTCATCAGGTGAATTAAAAACACATAGTTAGAGGCATTTTCTTGATAGAACATAGGGGATCGTTTGAAAAATGTTGCTTTTTGAAAAAGTTGCCAAAAATTACCAAGAAATTGTGGGATACAACTTTCGTTTGAAAATATATTTTTTAATTCAAAACACTATAATATTTCAGTGAGCGATTCTGCAAAAGTGGTACGAGCCATCGAAGAAAGAAGTCCAAATGTCTAAAATTCAACTAACAAAAAAAATCCTTTGAATTTCTGCAGTAAACTAAAATATACACAGATTATGCTGCTGACCCGATACAACTTTTTAAAATGAATATTGTTAACAATGTTGCGTAAGCAAAAAAAGGGATAAACTTAGGACTTATGCTTTGGATTATCATAGTGAAAGTTTTGCAACATCTATAACCTGCGAACAATACTTCTTGTTCAATCTAAAAACTACTTTGACTTAAAAAATATATATTTATAACAGTTTCACAAAAAACGTTTCAGTAAAAACGTGTGAAATTTATTTCACAGATTTTGCTCGACCTGAATGTCGTGCTTTCGCAACAACTTCAGGACAATTACTCAGATAAACTACATACGCTTTAGGAACCAGAGAGTTTGAACCCTCTTTAGGACACTTAATTCTATTACCCCTAAGATTCCATTCTTCTAGTTCATTGTAACTCAAATCAATGCTGCCCAGTTGTGTCACACTTTTGAAAGCACTGTCTGAAATACTGCGGATTCGGTTATGGTCTAGTCTTAATATAGAATCTCCTGGAATATTTGTGAAAGCTTCAGCAGGCATTGTCTCCAGATAAATTGTACGAAAGTCCAACCAACAACGGTTCTTATTCCGTTCCTTCAGTTTGTTATTGCTAAGACCAGCATAATATAAATATTTCATGTCGTCAAAAGCTTTACTTGCAATAAAAGAAATTTCGTTCAACTCCAAGCCAAAGGATCTGATTTCCGAACCGCTGAAAACTCCCTCTGGGACTTGCTTTATTTTGTTTCCCATCAGTTGTATATCCTGCATATAAGGTAAATTATGCAAGTCACCTGGGCGAAGTACGGAAATGGAATTATTTGCCAATCCTAAAAAAATGATATACTTGTGATTAAAAACTGAGGGATCTATTTCTGTAATACTGTTGTTCATTAAATTCAAATGAATTGACTGTTCGTCCCCTGAAAACACTCTATCAAACGTTCCAACCTCAATTCTCGAAATATGATTTAACCCCAATTCGATCCTTCTCACAGACAAATCTTGAAAAACTCCTCGCTTCAGTTCTTGTAGGCTATTGTTTTCGATATTTAATTCATCAACGTCTGATAAGTTCACGAAAGCTCTCTCCTGTAGAAGTGCAATAAAATGCTCTTGCAGGTACAAATTGTGAACTTTCAGATTTACAAAAGTTTTACTTTTAATTTCATGCAAATTGTTACCGCTCAAATCTAGGATGTCTAAATGTGGCAAATTTTTGAATGTTTCGGACTGAATTTCTTCCAAGTTCGCCTGGGCAACGTCGATTTCACACAACTTGGGTATACCTTTGAAGGAATCTTCGTACAGGGTTTTCGCTGTTCCTTTGATTTCGATGGTTTTCGACCACACGTATTCTGTTCCAGGAATCTCCACGGAGATGGTAACAAGTTATAACTGCACGGTTGGGAGTTCCAAGCACAATAGATAACTCAAGAATTAATAGAAAAATAATAGTGGGTTTGAAGTTATTCATGACCACACTTCTTCGGGTGTGTGTAACACTCTGCGTCTTGATTGTCGCGCTATATATACACAAAAAATTATATCTTGTGACAGTTGACCTGCGATAATCCTGCCCAATCAATTTCAAATTTAAAAATATAAACAATCAAATTTTCCAATTGCGATCCTCCTACTTGAATCATAACTATCTCCTAAATAACTTGACTTTACTGAGAACTAATTGCTTTCACTTGAAGTTCTGGTATTTGTAAGATTATTTCAGAAGAACTGGTGTCATTCCTTCGAAAAAATTACTCTAACTTTTCTAGGAAAACTTAAATCAGGATACTGCAAACACTTTAAACAATATGATGATTTAAATCGATTAAAAAAATCAAAATTTTATAACATTCACAATTTAACTTGAAATTTACAAAATTTTGCAAACTTTTATGTTTATTGTAATCACAGTAAATCGTTATTCAAAATTTATCCGTTCATTGATTGTTTTTCAATATTTAGATTTTTCAATTTATCAGTTCTACAATTTTTGGATTTTCAAGTTTCTGATTTTTCATTTTTCCGATCTAGACTTTTCATGGGTCAGTTTTGGCTTTTTCAGATTTTCGATTCTTCAATTTTTCTCTCATTTTTCAATTTTTTGGCATTTTGGTTTTGGGATCTCACATCATTCCGGTTCTCAATCTTTCGATTTTTCGATTTCTCGATTTGTTACTTTTTCGATATTTCAATTTTCCGATTTTTAAATTTTAGATTTTTCAATTTTTCGATATTTTAATTTTTGATTTTTAAAATTTTTAAATTTTAAAGGTAAATTTTTCGATTTTTCAGTTATTTGTTTTTCAATTTCTCGATTTTTCGGTTTTTCGGCTTTTTTCAATTTTTCGATTTTTGAATGTTTTAATTTTTCCATTTTTTTGACAATTGGATTTCTTGGTTCTCATTCTTCAATTTTTTTTCTGTTTTTCAATTTTTCGATATTTCAGTTTTGGAATTTTGCAACATTCCGTTTTCTTAATTTTTCGATTTCTCGATTTGTAGCGTTCGATTTTTCAATTTTTCGATATTTTAATTGTTCGATTTTTAAAATTCTAAACTTTTCGACTTCTCAATTTTCCAATTCTGCAGTTTTTCGATTTTTCAATTGTCGAATTTTTAAACTTTGGATTTTTCAGTTGTTGTTTTGGTTTCTCGATCTTTCGACTTTCCGATATCGGTTTTAAATTTTTTAATTTTCCGATTAGTAAAATTTTTTATTTTTCGATTTTTCAACTTTTCGATTTTTAGGTTTTTGAATTTTCAGTTCTTGGGTTTTCGATTTTTTGATGTTCCGATTTCTCGAAGTTTCAATTTTTCTAGTTTTTGGTTTTCTGATTTTTCGACTTTTCGGCTTTTCAATTTTCCTATGTCTCGATGTTTCGATTTTTCTGTTTTTCGATTTTTCAGTTTTCCGATTTTTCAATTTTCCGATTTTTCAATTTTTCCAATTTTTTTAAAATTTTGTATTTTCGATTTCTTGATTTCTCAATTTTTCAATTTTTCAACTCCTCGCCTTTTCATTTTTCGATTTCCCGATCTTTTGATATTGCAATTTTTGAATATTTCGATGTTTCGATTTCTCGGTTTTTCCAGTTTTCGACTTTTCGGCTTTTCATTTTACCATTTTTTCATTACTTCGATATTTTCAATTTTTAGAAATCTCAATTTTTCTTCATTTCAGTTTGAAATGTTTCAAATAAAATTAATTCAATTTTTCTCGATTTTTCTGTTTATCGATTCAAGTTTCCAATCTATCAAATTTTGAAATTTTTAAAATTTTGGATTTTCGATTTCTTAATTTCTCGGCTTTTCAACTTTTCGGCTTTTCAATTTTCCATTTTTTTCAATATTACGGTTTTTCAATTTTTAGATTTCCCAATTTTTCTCAATTCTGTTTTGGAATTTTTCAAATTCAATTACTTCAATTTTTCTCGATTTTTCGATGTTTCAATTTTTGAATGTTTTAATTTTTGGATTTTTTTGGAATTTTGATTTTGAAATTTTTCGATTTTGGAATTCTAGATTTTTCAATTTTTTCGATTTTTAGTTTTTGAAAACTTTTTAAACTTTTCGATGTTTCAGTTTTTCGATTTTCCAACGTTTAAACTTTAGATTTTTCAGTTTTTTGAAGTTTTGGTTTCTGGATCTCTCAATTTTCCGACGCCTCGGTTTTAGATTTTTCGGTTTTTAAACTTTCCGATTTGTAATATTTTTGGTTTTTCGATTTTCAGTTCTTCGGTTTTTCAATTTAAAAATTTTTGTATTTTGGGTTAATTCAATTTCTCAATTTTTCTCGATTTTTCTGTTTTCCGATTGAATTCTCCGATCTTTCAATTTTTGCATTATTTTTAATTTTGAATTTTCGATTTCTTGATTTCTGGGCTTCTCGATTTTTCGGCTTTTCAATTTTCAATTATTCTATTATTGAATGTTTCAATTTTGTAATTTTTTCATTCTTCCATTTTTCAATTTTTCGATATTTTAATTGTTCGATTTTTAAAAGTCTAGATTTTTTGATTTCTCAATTTCCCAATTCTGTAGTTTTTCGATTTTTCAATTTTCGAATCTTTAAACTTTAGATTTTTCAATTTTTTGATATGTTTGTTTTTCGATCTTTCGACTTTTCAATCTCGATTTTAGATTTTTAAGTTTTTCGATTTGCAAAATTTTCGATTTTTCAATTGTTCAGTTCTTCGGTTTTTCGATTTTTCACTTTTCGATTTTAACTTATTTTGATTTCTCAATTTTTCGATCTTTTGATGTTTCGATTTCTCAATGTTTAAATTTTTGAATATTCCAATGTGTTGATTTTTCTAATTCTTAGTTCTCTGATTTTACGATTTTTCGGATTTTCAATTTTCCAACTTTTCGATGTTTCGATTTTTCGATTTCCCAATTTGTCCTCATTTCAGTTTTGTAATTTTTCAATTTCTCGATTTTCCTGTTTTTCGATTCTTCACTTTTCCGATTTTTCAATTTTTCCAATTATTTTAAATTCTGGATTTTCGATTTCTTGATTTCTCGGTTTTTGAATTTTCGCCTTTACTTAGATTTTTGAAAGTTCCAATTTTTCAACTTTGTTTTATATTTCCATTTCTTGATTTTTCAATTTTTCGATATCCTAATTTGTCAGATTTCAAAATTTTTCAATTTCTCAGTTCTTCGATATTTCTATTTTTCACAGATTCGTCGTATTTATGCTCCCTTGCAAGATGCAAAAAGATTCGATTCGACTTTAAAAAATATATATAGAAACATATTAAAAAAAATAAATAAAACACACAATAATGTAGTTTTTTTCATTTTAAGCCATACATTTAACCAACAAATCTTTATCTATTGCACAAAGTTTTATCTCACAGACATAAAAAATGAGCTACATAACTCTACAACTGTGAACAACTGAGAGTGCTTTAGGAGCCAGAGCAGTTCCACCATCTTCAGGACACTCAAATTTATTACCCGTAAAATCAACGAAATCTTCAATTTCCACATTTTTCAAAAGGTCAAGGTTCCATTCTTTTATTTTGTTGTAACTCAAATCAATACACTCCAATCTGGTCACACCATTGAAAGCACTGTCGGAAATACTCTTGATACGGTTGTGGTCTAGGTATAACTTACTACCTTCTGGAATATTTGTGAAAGCTTCTGCAGGAATCGTTTCCAGAGAATTATGCGAAAGTGAAATCCCCATTGCTCGTTCTCCTGAGAACCAATTACTATCCCATTCTTTCAGTTTGTTATCATCAATACCAACAAAATCTAAATCTTTCAAGCCCTCAAAAGCTTTACTTGCTATAACAGAAATTTTGTTTTCTGATAGTAGTATCTTTTTTAAATTAGGTAGATTGCGCAAGTCACCTTCGCGAAGTGCGGAAATGGAATTATGTTCCAACCTTAAAGAAACGATATGCTTGTTATCAAAAACTGAGGAATCTATTTCTTCAATTCTGTTGTTATATAAATCCAGATTTATTCCACCTTCATTCCGTGGAAACACAGCAGCAAACGTTCCAACCTCTATTTTAGAAATTTTATTTGACCTCAAATCGATTTGTGTTACATACAAATTTTGAAAAACTCCTCGCTTCAGTTCTTGCAAATTATTCCCTCTAAGAATAAATCCTTGAACGTCTGATAAATTCACGAACGCTCCTTCCTCAAGAAGTGAAATCGAATTCTTGTGCAGCGACAAATTCCCAACTTTCAGATTTACAAAAGTCTCACTTTTAATTTCCTGCAAATTGTTTTTCGTCAAATCGACGTTGTCTAACTCTGGCAGATCTTTGAAGGTTCCAGGCTGAATTTCTTCTAAGTTCGTCTCGGAAACTTCGATTTCACGTAATTTGGGTATAGCCTTGAAGGAATCTTCGTACAGAATTTTCACTGACCCTTTGACTTCGATGCGTTGATTCTGGTCGCCATCTCCAGGACAGATTTCTTTGATTTGGTGGGTAGAAGCCTTTTCGATGGTTTGTGTTTTTTCCCAAGAGTTCTGACCGAAATGGTAGCAAGTTATGACGGCACCGTCAGGAGTTGCAAGCACAAAGGATAACTCAATAATCAGAAAAACAACTATGGATTTGAAGCTCTTCATGATTGTGCTTCTTTGGGTGTTTTTAAGAGTCTGATCTACGTCTAGGTTGTCGGGCTATATATACTGAAACAAATGATAATCTTGTGACATTTGCCGATGGGTGTTTGATTTGACCTGCGATGATCCCGCCTAATGGAAATAATTTTGTTAGTATTTTTAAAATAGATTTGTTTTGTACTTTGTCATGCTCATAGCGATAGAGGATCCTAAAATTAATTTCCAAGTACGTGTTTTGTAGCCCGGAAAATTTAAATTTGGATTTTTTGCGAAAATCTGGATACCTAGGGGAAAACCTCAAGGCGAATTCATAAACCGCAAGTACAGGAATATGCTATTTTATAAAATTTGGATGGTATTTACTCGTATTACCAAAAATTTTGTTCTTCAATATCACGCTTCCTGCAGTGTTATGTAAATTTACAACATAAATATTGTCTATAGTGCTGCACAAACAAAAAGATGAACTTATGACATGACTTTGGGTTATCGGCAGCAATGTTTTGCGAACATCAAAATAACAATTTTTTATAACACCTAGGAGTCGGTGAAGGTTGCAGCACGACTTGTTCCATTTAAAAGTTACTTTAACCTAAAGAAATATATATTTAAAAAAAAAAGTGTGTACATGATTTCACCTATACGACGATCAGTAAACTGTAAAATAAATATGTTCATTAAAGTTGTGCCCTAAAAAAATTGTGGTGAAAATGAACAAGTCTTATAGGAGGCTGTGTATGATGCTGAAGAAGAACCTGAACCCGAGCCGATCAAAGACGTGGAAAAAGTCATAACAAAAAATGACGCAACGCTACTAATAATGGAAAACTGACCAATAAGTATTGTTACGAAATAAACCCATACGCCACCCTGATACGACGCCTATGGGTTCTCGTATGTACGTCGCCGATGACTCATTGTCGGCGACGGCGGCCGAAGAAGAGCCTGGAAGCGGAAGTCGCGAATGGGCGCTCCAGAGAAGTCTAGTAGCGGTGACATAGGCGTTTCGAGAAGAACCGCGTGCTGTTTAAAGGTCGATTTATAAACTTGTCGCTGACGTTGCCGTTCGGCATTGACGATGCCATTGAAAGTTGACGCCGTTGGAGTAACGTTCGAGATGGCCAACTTTTAACGTTCGTCGTTACGTTGAGTTTTCAATGTTTTCATCCAATCAAATTGCGATACTGTGCAGTGCTGCCAACTTGAAGGAAAATCTTCTGAAGTAGGGAGGACATTTTTCTGGTTGACACCACCAATTCCACGAAAATCAAATTTTGATAGAGATAATGAGGTTCACTAATATTAAGCCATTTAATCACCTATTTACAAAACTCCTCATATTTTAAATAGCTCGCTGCCATCATTCAGTGTAGCTTTCTGTCAGTACAAAAACAGATTAGGTATTATAACTACAAGGGCTTACATTTGGCCCTATTTTTCTTAATATATGTAGTCTTGTTTTCACAACAATAAAGCTAAAATATGTTTAAAATGGTATTTTTTTAGGAAAGTACCGATTTTCAAATTAGGCTCCGCCTCTCGATATGACAACAAATGAAAAATTCTTCACAGTTGAGCTTGAGATAGATATGGGTGGGACTTAATTTTTTGCTTGGTTTTTTCTTAATATACATGGTATTCTTTTAAAAACACGATATTCAAAAGGATGTCTTTATTTCTTGTAGAGAAATAAGGATTTTGCAATTAAGCTCCACCTCCTTGGCTCATGACGAATAAAAAAAATCATCCCAATTGAGATGGGGCGGGTGGACGAGGCTTAAATTAATACATTTAGTTTTCTTTGTATAAGATATAATATGATTACTTAAGAACATATTTCACATGGTAATTTTTCGTTATAAAATAAGGATTTTACAATTAAGCTCCGCCCCTCGGCTTGCGGCGAATAAAAACAATCATCAGAATTGAGATAGGGTGGGTGGGTGGGGCTTATATTTGGGTTTTTTTTCTTAATACTTATACATAGCCATTTTTTAACAACAAGAAACATAAAACATAACAACCTAATTACAAAATCGATATTTCCTTATACAGATTTTCCATTTTAAACATGTTTCAAGTTTCAGGTTGTGAAAAGAAGTCTACACATATTAAAACTAAAAGGCAAAATGTAGGCCCGCCCACCCGCCCTATCTCAGTTGTGATGAATTGATGATTTTTTTTATTCGCTGTGAATCAAGGGGACGGAGTTTAACGGCAAAATATTTATTTCTTTACAAGATATTCAAAACATGTTTTTGAGTATCGTGTTGTTCGAAGATTACTATGTATGTTAAGAAAAAAAGGGAAAATATAAATGCTTTGAACAACACAATACTCAAAAACATGTTTCTAATTTCTCGTAGAGAAATAAGGATTTTGCAGTTAAGCTCCGCCCCATTGCTTCACGACGAATAAAAAAAACTTCACAATTATATAACTCGTGATCAGATTATATATCTACATATTATATATGTATATGTAGATTTTTAGGCAGTAAAAGTCCAATTTTTTAGTCAAATTTTCTGAAATCTAAAGGAGTGTTTGCAAATGTCAAGCCGCGAAATTTACTCTCGACTTCATTACTTCGAAAATTTATATTTCTCCGGAATCGCCAAAATTAAAGACGGCAGTTTTTAGAATACTCTAACTGTTGGACGTAAAGGCTTTGAAAACACCTTTTTTTCGCGGCGATTTTACAATTCCAAAAAAAATAATATTAAAATTTGGATCGAAGCTGACAAACGCATCAAAAGATCACCTACCTTGTTTTGTTCAGCCTCCTGGGTTGAGGGTTTGTAGACCGCATGCACAAAGGAACCACGTGTCTAAGTTTCGCGACAACAATTCGCGATTGACGTCACACAAGATGGCAACTGCGTTCACTTAACGCCCACCTTAGCGATGTTACCTCTCTGAGGGTTTCTCGATAACTCTGTTCGATAACAGCGCCAACCCCAAGTACCGGGCCCTTTTGCTCGGTACTATGGCGCTTCTAGTGGAAAGTGACCAAAATACACTTGTCAGCAATCCGCGGGAAAACAAACAAAATCAAAACAAAATATTAACAAACTTCGAACCGGAACACTAACGTTGCACACATATCTCTATTTTAATTTACAGGAGCTCTCATAAAAAATAAAATTAGCAATGGTTTATGTTTATACATGGAAGAGTAGCGAATTTGTTTGTCTTGTATCAAAATGCAACTTTTGAGTACACACCTTGTTTGTAACACTGAATAAGCAAAAAAATTGATAAACTTATGACACACGATTTTGGATTATCGTAGTGAAAGTTTCGCAAAAATCTAGATAACAATTGTTTGCAACACTTCGCTCTAAAAATACCGTAACTTAAAACAGTTAAACAAAAAATAATGCAGTTTTTTCATTTTAACTAACTGTCGCACAAAATTTTATTTTGACTGTTCATACTTAATCTATAACAATTTAAAAACATTTGGAGATCTGAGCTTCTACATACATTCGCCGAAATAAACTGTTTGTGCTTTAGGAGCCAGAGCACTTACATCATCTTCAGGACACTTAATTTTATTACCCGTAAAATCAACGAAATCTTCAACTACCACATTTTTCAAATGGTCAACATTCCACTCTTTTATTTTGTTGTAACTCAAATCAATGTTCTCCAAACGGGTCACACCACTAAACGCACTATCGTCAATGCTCTTGATACGGTTATTGTCTAGTTTTAGCGTACTACCCTCTGGAATATACGTGAATGCTCCTGCAGGAATTGCCTCCAGGAAATTGGTCGAAAGTGCAATCGTCAACCGTGTTTCTCCACAGAACCAATTACTATTCCATGCTTTAAGTTTGTTATATTCCAAACCGATATAATTTAAATGTTTCATATCGTTGAAAGCTTTACCAGCTACAAAAGAAATTTCGTTGAAGTTCAAGTTAATGGATTCAATTTTCGAACTGTTGAAAACTCCCTCTGGGATTTCCTTTAATTTGTTTTCTGACAGTACTATTTCTTGCAACTTAGGCATATTACGCAAGTCACCTGGGCGAAGTACGGAAACGGAATTTTCTGACAACCTTAAAGAAACGATATGCTAGCAATCAAAAACTGATGAATCTATTTCTGTATTTAGAACAATTATTTGATCCCAATTCCATCTGTGTCACATACAAATCTTGAAAAACTCCTCGCTTTAATTCTTGTAAATTATTCTTGTCAATACCTAAATGTCGAACAACTGTTACGTTTACGAACGCTCCCTCCTGTAAAACTGAAATCGAATTCTTTTGCAGGTGCAAATTCACAGCTTTCAGATTTACAAAAGTTCTACTTTTAATTTCGTGCAAATTGTTTTCGGTCAAATCTAGCATGTCTAACTTTGGCAGATCTTTGAAGGTTTCAGGCTTAATTTCTTCTAAGTTCGTCTTGGAAACTTGAATTTCGTGTAATTCGGGTATTCCTTTGAAGGAATCTTCGTACAGAGTTTTCACTGATCCTTTGACTTCGATACGTTGATACTCGTCGCCATCTCCTGGACAAATTTCTCTGATTCGGTGTGTCGAAGGGTTTTCGACTTCACGTATTCTATCCCAAGACATCTCACCGAAATTGTAACAGGTTATAACTGCACCATTGGGATTTCCAAACACAATTGATAACTCAGCAAGCAGAAAAATAATAGTGGATTTGAAGGTCTTCATGACTGCACTTTTCGAATGTTTGTAACACTCTGAACTGCGTCTTGGTGTTGCGCTATATATACAAAAAAAATGATAATCTTGCGACACATGACGACGAATACATGATTTGACCTGCGATGATCCCTCCCAATTAGTTTAAAATCTAAAAATATAAACTTACATATTTTTTAAATTCGATCCTTCCTCTGGAATCATAATTATTTCTTAAATAAGTTGACTTCACTGGAAGTTCTGGTAATTGTAAGGTTATTTCAGAAGAAATAGTTTTCGTTACCCAGATCTATCATTCTTTTATTAATTCTTTCGAAAAAAATATTATCCGTTCACGATCTTTATATAGTAGGGTTGGCCATGAAAATCTAGTGAGTTTGTTGGTATTCGATGCAGAAGAAAAAAAAATGCCTGAAGTTTTTTCGTTAGGTTATGTTTTATTAAATTAAAGGTAAAAAAAATATGCCAGAAATATAAACATTGTTGCCGATACTTTCAGTTTCCAGTAGCAATGACCAAGTTAACGGTATCCATTTCTTAGAAAGCATAAAACTTTACGCTATTTAAAACAGTTCTTCGGTTTTTTGTAAGTGTTTATTTCATATATAAGGAACAAACACTAAAATTTCACTTAAACATTGTTTTTATATGAATGGGGGTTCTACATACGACTATTGTCGCATGCCATATTTAGCAACTCATCTTTAATTCTCAATCATCAGTTCGTTCTGCTCGCCCACTCTTCTTAGAAATGGAAATTTCGACCTTTTTTAACAGCCTATTTCCATATCTTCTCACTTCTTTTTTCACTTTTCTAAGATTACTAAAAGGGTTGGTAAAAGACAACAACCTTGATCTAGTGCTTTTATGGGTTTAGCTCTTCTGAAACATGTTTCCGGACTGAAATTAAATGATTTATCTATTTAGCTATTACTAATGCTTACGTCGGTGCTCTTTATTTCCTTTTACTAAGTACTTCTAAACGTTTATTAATAAGAACGTTACTATACGCCTTCTCCAGGTCCATGAAGAGTTACAAAAAAAAACGAAAATGCTTAAAATTTGGTGCAAAGTAACAACGTGGATGATCTAACTAAAATTATATTTATTTTGTTGTACGTCAGGTGGTTTTTCACATACTACCTTGATAAATTTAGAACGAAAGATGCGTAAAAATATCACCCCCCGACAAGCTACAATTCACTCCATTTCCATAATTTCGCTATGAAAATCTTTATCATCACCGTCATTTTCAAATTCAGATTCTGAATCAGATTCACCTAGCGAAATAATGAAAGGAGGTATAGATTCGTACGAAAGATTTCCCATATTTTTTTCCCAATCTGCCGAAATAAGTTTTTCACAATAGTTACAAAAATTTTGCCACATGCTTGGAGCACATTTAGAAAGCGCCTCAAGCCATAAATTCTCCACCCTATTTTTTAATGAAGGTTGAGAATTTATATGCTTGTTGTAATAGTTCTTACAAAATCCCCACGCCATTTCAATTGGATTATATTGTCAATGGTACGGAGGTATTCTAAGAACTTCATGGCCACTTTTTCTTAACACTAGAACGACGGAGGCGGTCATTTGACCGCTTTTGAATTTTTTATTCTTGATATCTCTGGTTTTATAAAGGATTTCGTTATTATCCTTTGTGACAATTATTTATTTGTTCTTGAGTGTATGTGGAAAAAATCGCAATGCAATAGGACTTTTCGTCACCTGTGTGGGGATATGTCTTCCTAGAAAGACGGAGTGCGGTCATTTGACCGCTGCAAAAAAATCGCTTCAAAAATTCTCGAAATAATTAAAATTACCTGATACCCCATACTGTCAACATCTGGACACAATTTCCACTAACATGGTTAGTAATTTTCGTGGTAACTTAATTTATTTTGGCATTGCACGTGATTACATTCTTTGGTTTGGATCTTGTTCTTTTCGTGAAAGGTGTGCTTTTTCTTGGTGATTTTTGCTTTGAAAATGTCGCAACATTCGGTGAGAAAATGTATGACAGATTTGGAATTACTGGCAGAATTTAATAATTCGCCTCAAGACGGATAGTAGTAATGTATATGACACAAAATTTCTGAAATATAATACTACCACGCCGACTGTATATCAAGGGAAAAAAACAAAAATGTTCTGGTTTTGCGCACTATGCATCCTGATATGATAATTCAAGATAATCGAAAAAAGCTTCTGGACACCTAGCTTATTGCAACTTTACAAAATATGGCGATGATATGGAGGACCAAGTGGCTAGAAAAAATTCGTTCAAAGCCGGATCACGTACAAGTTATTTATAACATTTTAGACTTGGCTGTAATAAATGCATGGATTTTATATCAGGAAGTGATAAAGAAGAAAATAAGCAGACGAAAATTCCTCTTGAAATTGTGAAGAGAACTCGCTGCAAGTGATGTTGGGTCAGGTCAGGTCAAACTAATAAAAATGACCTACTGCCTGAGGAAAAGTTCACAGGAACAAGAAAACAATGCCATGCAACTAAATGCCGCAATAAAGCAAACCGAACGCGTGATAGATGCAAAAATACTTGATGCGGAAAATGTAAAAAAGTTACAAATTTCTTGTGTGCAAATTGCTTTGAATCATAAGTTTCATTTATGATTTCCACTTTCTAATGTTTATGTTACTGTAATTTAGTTGTTTAATTAATTTTGATAAAGTATTTACGATATTGGCCATGTCTAACTGAAAAAAAAGTACAGCGGTCAAATGACCGCAAGCCGTCCGTAGAGGTATGCATTAAACGCCGTCCTCCTAGTGTTAATGTCTCGTCTACCAAATATCTTTTTTTTTCTATTGTTTCTGAAGGGTTTAATTAAATCCCACAACTGTTTCTTCGAAAATTTTTTCGCAAATTCAGCACAATGTTTAAAGAGCCATTCCTGCATTTCACATTTTTTACTAGAAAAAGTGGGTGGTTTACCCAACTGAACCGAATGATATGGTGCTTTGTCTAAAACTACCACACATTTTTGTTCAACTTTGCCAAAGCAGGAATGGGCTGAGTGACCACCCAGTTTTGAAAAATTGTCCCGTCCATCGTTTTATGATAGTCTCTATCGTAATTTTTTTAATTTAAAAAATTGTTACAACCATCCAAGAACCCCGTTGAACAACTCGCGTGGAGAATAGTAAACCTTGATCCTTCACTTTTAATTTCGGTGGGATTGCTTTTTAGATCAGTATCGTGCACCCAGCGACGAATGGACGAACCATTTTGAATTTTGATAGATCCATATTTCATCCGAATACACGAAAGTCAAATTTTCACAAGAATTTAGAAACTGTAAATATGTTCTCAAAAAAGTAATTTTGGCTGTAACGACATGTTTTTGTTCACATAGAATTTTACAACCATTTACTTCCCTGTGTTGATAACCCATTGACTTAAGAATTTTTTATAATGTGGTTCGCCCCCTTTTAAGTTCCAACTGTTCCCTAGAATATGCCAAAAGAGTTTCTACAGTGAAATATTCGTTCTTTTCATTAATTTGCCTAATTTTCGTTGCAGGTCTTTCCAAAACATATAATTTGTAAATAAATCCGCTGGTTTTCGCTTGCCAGATAGTGATGTTTTTAAGTTTTTTTCCCCTGTTGATAAAATTTTCGACAGTTGGTGTTCCCACCTATGAGAAAAAAACAAAATATTTTACAGCGTATTTTTACATTAGAGAAAATATGTTCGAGACCCTCATAGTTACTTCTTCGAAAGAAAGATCGGAGCTGTCTTTTCGAAACTGCAAAAAAGATCTTTTGATTGCAATTTTTTGTTGTAGTAAAACTATTTTAGGCATTTTCTTTTTAAATAATGTCGCAATCGTCTGTGAATCTGTCACAATGACAAATTATCTATGCTGACAAAATTAAAACATTTGTTTGCTTGATTACTGACCGATAAAAAACTAAATCATCAAATCAGTTTATTCAACAATATCAAAGCTTACTTTACTAGATAAAAACCGTAATTGGATAATAAGGTATTCCAATTTTTATCATTGCTATATTTTTGAATTTCTCACATTTATTTTTATTAGTTCCAATTTTATCAAAAAACTAACGCTAACATTCTTTCAAAATATCTATGTATCTGGTTGTTTAAGTGTCGTGAATGGATTTTTTCAGTCAGAATGTTTATGGCATGCAAAATTGTTCATTTTGTTGCTCAGGATTTTAGACAGCTTTCCAAAATCCAATTTTTCAATGTGATATTTTATGAAATATTTTACTTGTTTAGAGCACCGTCGAAAAGTATCTAAAAGGAGTTTTTACAGATCTCAGGCCCTAAAATTTACTTTCGGCTTCATTTCTTCGAAAATTTCTGCTTGTTTTCAAGGATCCCCAAAAATTAATATTGTAATCTTTTTGAATTTTTCAAAAATTTGATTTTGAAAATGAATACGTCGAAGATTTTCATCCGAGAGCGTTAACAACCCATGTTTTCGAATTATCTTGTCGAAATCTACATTCCATTATTTTTGGTGACTTTTTAGGCAACTTTTCTAATAGCTGAATTTCAAAATGAAATTCTGTAAAAATTATTTTACAGATATCAACCTCTAGAATTTATTTTCGCCAAAATAGCATTTGAAAATTTTTAGAAATATTTAAAAACCTTATTTTGAAAATGAATTCTTCTCCATAATTTTTGTCCGGGACCATCAACAAGTTACGTTTTTTTAAATACTTAACTCGTCCAGAATTTTTGGTAGATTTTTAGGCAAATTTTCCAAATGCTCAATTTTTCAGTCAGATTTTATAAATTTATAGTCTTTTTTCAAGCACTCTCAAAAATTATTTAAAGGAGTTTTGCAGATGTCAAGTTGCGAAATTTATTTTCGGCTTCATTATTTCGAAAATTTAAATTTTTCAGGAATCGCTAAAACTAAAGATAGCAATTTTTAGAATACTTTAACGCTACATACGTATTTTTATTTTAACTTAAAGGGGCTCTGATAAAAAATAAAATTCGCAATCTTTTATATTTATACATGTAAAATGTATCACGATTAGCACGTAATAGTGGCGAGTTATCTTAGTGAAAGTTTCGTAAAATCTAAGTAACAATTGTTTGTAACACTTCGATCTAAAAAATATATCTACTTAAAATAGTTAAAAAAAAGCTACTTCAACTGTTGCACAAAGTTGTATTTTGAAATATCATACTTAATCTATAACAATTTAAAAACATTCGTCGAAATCAACTCTGCGTGCTTTAGGGGCCAGAGTGGTTAGTCCATCTTCAGGACACTTAATTTTATTACCCGTAAAATCCACGAAATCTTCAACTACCACATTTTTCAAAATGTCAACATTCCACTTCTTTATTTTATTGTAACTCAAATCAATACCCTCCAAACGGGTCACACCACTAAAAGCTCTGTCGGAAATGCTCTTGATCCGGTTCTTGTCTAGTTTTAACGTACTACCCTCTGGAATATTCGTGAAAGCTCCTGCAGGAATTGTCTCCAGAAAATTGGTCGAAAGTGCAATCCACAACGGTGTTTCTCCACAGAACCAATTACTATCCCATTTTTTAAGTTTGTTATATTCGATACTGATATGACGTAAATGTTTCATATCGTCAAAAGCTTTACTTGCTATGAAAGAAATTTCGTTGTAGTCCAAGTTAATGGATTCGATTTTCGAACCGTTGAAAACTCCCTCTGGAATTTGCTTTAATTTGTTCTCTGCCTGCAGTACTATCTCTTTTAAACCAGGCATATTGCGCAAGTCGCCTGGGCGAAGTACCGAAATTAAATTCTTCGACAACGATAAAGAGAAAATGTTATGCTTGTAATCAAAAACAGAGGCGTCTATTTCTGCAATACTGTTGTTCGGGAAACTCAAAACTATTCCATCTTGATCCAGTGGAAACACACCAGCAAACATTCCGACCTCTATTTTAGAAATGTTATTTGACCCCAAATTGATATGTTTCACATGCACATTTTGAAAAATTCCTCGCTTTAGTTCCTGTAAATTATTCCATTCAAAATTTATTTCTTTAACTCCTGATAAATTCACGAACGCCCCCTCCTGAAGAACTGAAATCGAATTCCTTTGCAGGTACACTTTCCCAACTCTTAGATTTACAAAAGTCCCAGTTTTAATTTCCTGCAAATTGTTTTTGCTCAAATCTACGTCGTCTAACTGTGGTAAATCTTTGAAAGTTCCAGGCTCAATCTCTTCTAAATTCGTCTTGGGGACGTAAATTTTACGTAATTTGGGTATACCTTTGAAGGAATCTTCGTACAGAAATTTCACTGATCCTCGTACTTCGATGGACACCTTGTGCTCACCATCTCCAGGACAAATTTCTTTGATTCGGTGTGTAGAAGCGTTTTCGATCTCACGTATTCTCTCCCAGGAAAAGTCTTCATAACTGTGACAGGTTATGACTGCACCGTTGGAAGTTGCAAGCACAAGAGATAACTCAGCAAGCAGAAAAATAACAGTGGATTGGAAGGTCTTCATGACTGCACTTCTTCGAGTGTTTGTAACACTCTGGAGTGCGTCTTGGTTGTTGCGCTATATAAATGATAATCTTGTGACACATGACGATGAGTGAATTATTTGACCTGCGATGATCCCGCGCAATTATTTTGACCTTCCACCGAAATCATAATTATTTCTTGAATAACTTGACTTCTCTGGAAGTTCTGGTAATTGTAAGATTATTTCAGAAGAACTAGTTTGTTTACTCAGATCGATTACACAGGCCTGCGAAATATAACTTTTAATTTCCCTTTTAGATAATATTGTTTTTTTTTAGGTATTTATGTATGCCGAATTAAAATATAACTCTAGTTTTTTTGTAGCACATCGAGATTTATTTTTATGTAGGCCTAAATATTCATAGTTTTTCAAACAATTTTTATGAAAAAATAAAATATAAAGAATATAAAATTGAATGTTTATTTATTAAATGAGCTAAATTAGTTATAAACAAGACTTAAAAAAACAAATAAATCAAGAAGCTTCTTTTTTTCTTTCTTCAAAGCTCTGATTTAAGCATTTTCTCTTGTATTCACGATAGGATATGTTATTGCTGTTACATTTTTCGCATTATATCATTTTATGTTTGAACAGCAAAAGTGACAATTGTCTGTATGATTTTGTGGTTCCATCCAAATCATTGGTGTCAGCAAACTTATCTGAAGAATTAACCCATTTCCGAGAAGACATTAGTAATTTTTGCTTAAATTCAGGGTAGTAAGCGCATAGTCGACACAAATAACTCTTACTAAGCTGAACACGAAATGAAATATCAACACCATTATCCATACATATTATTACCACAAAATCTAGAAGTTAATTTTTATAGTACTAAGAACAAAACTGAAAAAATATTTTTTGCAGAAACTGTACGTGATAGAAATTTTTGCAATTTTTTTTTATACATGAGTATCTAAGACCTACCGAAATTACTACTTGATTTTGTTGGGGGAAAACCATCGCAGGCCTGTGTTATTATTCTTTATTATTAATTCCTTCGAAAAAATACCTTTCTACATATTTCCTTGGAAAATTTAAACTTGCTTTCCGAAACAGTGCCAGTGGTACAACTTTTTCCAATTCTGTCATTTACTCGTTTCATTCTTAATTTTGTCAGTCTTTATTTTGGTACCCGACAAGTATTCCGAAGTAGTGTTAGTTGAAAATTCTCGATCTGTTTTTTGCAGAGTGTGCAGTAAAAAAATAAACAAGGTATTCACATTTTTCTCATTGCTATATTTTTGAATTGGTCACATTTATTTTTATTAGTTCCAATTTCTAATAATTAGTTTAATTTATTGATATGTTATTGCTTTCAATTAAACGCGAGAAGTAAAAATTGTGGCTTGTGGGTAAAATTTTGGCAAGAGAAATTATAAATGAGGTTATAAATCTAGATGTAACAAAGAACTTAAAATTTGCTCCAATAACCTCTGTCAATGTTGAAAGATCGTTTTCAACGTTAAAAGATGTGTTGTGTAACAAGCATGAATCATTTTTAATGGAAAATTTTGAAAAACAACCTTTACTTTAACAATAAGTGAGCAGTTAAAAATATATATATACATATTCAAATTAACATTTGGATATGCATGTTTTACATGAATTAGTTGCATATTTTTAATAAATTTATGCGCACATTTTTTCGATATTTTGATGCATACTCGTACAATCCGAGCCATAGTTATTAGTGAGCTTTTGTTAAATGGAGACAACTGATTTGTAAAATCTTTCTTTAAGAAACTGCCCGTTATTTTGTAATTATGCCATTGATAGTTGGACAAAGTAAAATTTGATCCAGCGAGGGTTTTAAATATTTACAAAAAAATTCGCTAAGTATTAGGTAAGTTGCACTAAGCTTCCAACAAAAATTTCAAAAATTAAATAATGTTAAAACGAATTAAATAAATATAACAAGTATTGCTGAAGCCTTGCAGAAGCAGGTAAATATTAATAAATCATGATACAATGAAAATTTTAAGAAAACGAGACTTTTGATCGATTATTATCTAATAGATGTTACAATACTTCTTGTGAAAATCCCGCAAAGATTTAAAAAACAATTCTTTGTAACACTTAGTTAATCACTTAGATTTAAAGACAATTTTGACTTTAAAAATATATACCGGGTGTCCCAGCGTACCTGATCCACTCAAATACATATCTCGATTATTTTGAAACATAAAACAATTGAAATTTGGCATGTTCAAAATACATATAACACAGTCTATTAAACAGATGGATTACTGGAGTCGTATTAGTTTCAGTTTCGCCGGAAATGACATCAATTATCTTTTTTTTTAATACAAAATTGTATCATTTTTCAATACATTAAATAGTGCCCTTTCCTTGTCTTTTCAACGTTATGTCACATTATACGATGTTATCTACTTGAATGTTTTAAATCGTCCTCAAAATACAAAAAAAAAGAAATTTGAAAGAATCATTTCTGAGTTAATTTTATCACTTACTTAATTCTTTGCTTAAAGTCTTCTGAGTTTCTCAGAGGTTGTATCGTTCAAATAATCTGTTATTATTTGATATTTGGAATATCTTCTAATAACACAGAAAATTCTTTTACGTGAGTAAGAGAGAATGGTGGAAAGACGCTGTAAGTAAGCTAGGTTTGGGAAGCCTTTGTTTAACGACAATTAATCGTAACGACGACAACACCACTTGCGACTTTCTAATCGGAAAAAGTACTAATTTTTGACCCACGCTACACGTGCTGTAAATTTGTTTCATTATTTGTAAATTCACCGATCAGGTTAGGATTTTAATCGTTAACTGGTTCTAACATAGTTTAACAGACATTAAATTTGTTTAGATAAATACTGACTAGGAGATTTCATGACATTCACTTAGTCAGGATAACACCCTTTCTGGATGCTAATACTTAAGTGTTACATTATATTCTTCACACAAGATGGCTAATAATTCATTTGCGGCAGTTAAATTAACAAAATTATATTATCATCATCCTCACATCACCGAGATATTTCTCTCGCAACGCTAAAAACTACATTACCGATGAGCTTTCCCCGCAACGCCTGATGCATTTTGTGTTCATTTGTTATATGTTTTGTTTGGGTTAAGCAGTCCACGATATAAATCGTCAAAACAAATTGTTTTAAGCAACCAATCACTTGGATCATGGCATAATGTAACATCATATAAACTCTTTGTTTGAATCGTTGATAAAGTGTGGCATAATTGAACATAATGTAAATTCTTTGTTTGAATCCTTGATGTGTGGCGAGGATTAATATCATGTTAATTTGTTAGCTTTGCAATTTTCACCTCATACCTACAATATTTCTCTATCTCACAATTTTAACTTCAGTAATTTTCGTTGTTGTATAATTTAAATTCAACGTTAAATTTTCATGCTCTCCAGTTTCTAACCTCACGTAATATTTTATCTTCACAAGTTACTTCGCATCAGATCTTATTGATATAAATTATCTGATATCCAATTTTAATCTCACATAAGAATTATTTGTTGTTCAAAATTTCACAAGATTGTATGGCGAATTTAAATGTTGTTTATTGCTCTTTTTGAAACTTTAACACTTGTTCAGTTGTCGTTAATATCAGAGTTATAAGAATTGAACATATAAATGGAATTGGGGTTAAATAAGACACAATACGTGGTGGAAGCGGAGTGCGCGATTCCTAGTCGAGCTGGCGGAATTTATCGTGCCATCTGAACAAATGATGCAGGTTAGAATAGAATTCAGGGGCGGTCGAAATGACGTAACGCTGTCGACTTCGTGATAGCAGATTTTGCTTTGTTTTTATTAAATTTGTGATTTTCAAATATTTGCATTGGTTCAGAACGTTTAATCTGATTTCTTTTAAACTTCATCCAAAGTTCAATAAGTTTTTTTTGAGCTGAAAAGCGATTGCTATTCGGCCCCCATTGGACGGTCTAAGGACAAGTCGCGAGTCACCCTCGCACGCAGTTTTTTTTTGTTCTGGTTTTGTCAGTGGGGGAATAAATAATTTTGTGTGCCCCATAAATTGTGTGTTTTATTTAGTGGTACCTTGGGGTAGGGTTCCATTTTGTCAGACGATCACAGCCAAGGCCAAATTTTGATTTTTTTAATTTAAGGCGGGATGTTTGGGTTATCACAGTATCATGTCTAACTTATCGGCATTGCTGAATCTTTCGTTTTTCATTTTTTTACTCTACAGTTTTTTATTTATTTTAATCTAGAAGTGACAAGCCAGTACAGAAAATAAGAGAAAACGTTGCATGAGAAACACCACCGCATTTATTTTTAATTCACTATTGTTGGAAAGAGAAAAAAAATGCTCTCCTTTATAGTGCTATTCCTTTAGATTTAAAAAAAAATTGATGTCATTTCCGGTGAAATAAACTGAGGCTAACAGAATGGCAATAGTCAACTCATTTAATAAGTAGATTGTATGACATAAATTGAAAATGCCTAAGTTCACATTTTTATGTCTTGAAATAATTGAGATATTTGAATGGAATTTTTTTTATCAGACTACAAATCTTTAACTATTGAAGAAAGTTTTATTTTCACAGATCATACAAAATCTATAACAATTTGAAAACATTTGCTAAGATGTGCTTTAGGAGCCAGAGAACCTGAACCATTTTCAGGACACTTAATTTTATTATTCGTAACATCAACGAAATCTTCAACATTTTTCAAAAGATCAACATTCCACCCTTCTATTTCGTTGTGACTCAAATCAATACTCTCCAAATGGGTCACCCCACTGAAAGCACTATCGGAAATAGTCTTGATGCGGTTATGGTCTAGGTTTAACGTAATGAAAATTTTATTTTAGACCGTCAAGTGGTCCAATCTACGCTTAAAAAATTCAAAGCGGCCCCGCCCACCCACCCGGTTTTCGTTCTAATCACTCATTTTTTTGGACAAAAAGTGGCATTTACATTGATACAGAGTGGAATGTAGACAAAAAGATAAAATAAGCAGTAAATTTTATACCAAATAGTATAACAAAAAAAAGTTACGATTGGATGGCG